ACCATGGTGGGGACACATAACCAACATTCCTTTAAACCTGCCCCATGTCTCGTGTAGTGTCTCCATTGGTTTCTGTTTGAAGCTCACAATCTCATCAATTTGTTGAGCAGTTTTGTTGGGCGGATGGAACTTGTTGTGAAATTGCTTGACCAACTCATCCCAAGTTGCTATAGAGTTTATGGGAAGCGAGTTTAGCCAAACCTGAGCAGCTCCTGTCACCGAGAATGGAAACAATAATAGCCTGATTGCTTCCGGAGTCACGTTGGGTTGCCTTTGGGTTTTGCATATAGACAGGAAGTTCTTTAAGTGTTGCTGAGGATCTTCTGGTTGTGTCCCAGAAAAGAGTCCCTTGTTCTGCAACAAGTGTAGCATGTTATTTGTGATCCGGAACGATTCAGCTTGTATTGCGGGCACAACAATGGCAGTGGCCAGATTGTCAGTTGTGGGTTGTGCCCAGTCATAAAGTGCACCCTCAGGCACAGGAGGTGCCAATTGCTCATTCCTGACGTTCCCGTTGGGGTCGTTTATGTCGCCCATGTCAATTTCGAGTTGGTGTGTTTGTTGGGATTGTTGAAGTCTTTTGTCGGCACGATTCAATGCCCGGAATGTCTTCTCGGGGTCTGAGAGTCCTTCAAGTAGTTCTCCAGTCCTCGTAGAATTTCTAGGCATACACCTGCGCACCCAGATCAACAACCGTCAAATTTTCAATGAAAAAGTTGGTAGAGAGAAGACTGACTACAATAAGAATCCTTGTATTTCTGTCAATGGCAATTGATAATTCCCTTAACTCCCCAGCAACGGTGCCAAAATTTGATCACGCCCAACTATGCCTTATAAAAAGGACTCTGCGGATGTTGCAAATATAACCGAGTATTACACCCAGGGTCGAATCCACAGAGAGTTAACCTATCAACCACTATCTTCAGACCCACTAATTCTTCAGAACCAGCTTCCCAAATATTCAAATCTCAGTTGGGTGTTCTTTAACAACTAGCTTGCAAGTAATTAAATAGCTGTAAACTAAACTAATAAGGTTGTAAACAATTATGAGGAAAAGCTAAGGCAATGATTTCCCCTATTGATGGAATCCCTTCTGTTTATGCTCATACAAATTTACCAACACATCTCTATCAATCATGAACGCTAATCTTACCGCAAATCTCTCCCGAGTAATCACAGTAATTTACTATTGCGCTCTCCCGAGATACACTAGCTTACTTTATTTAGCACGATTCACTTTAGATTACACCCAAGGCTTCGTTATCCCTAATCCCGCCTTTAAACCCGCAATTATAGATTCCTCTAATAATCTAGGAGTGGTGTTGTTCAACAATACCCTAAATATGCACTCTTTTCCAAGTTATGCACACTAAATAGGCACAGCTAATTGAGGATCCTGTCAATTAACTACAACGAACACGAAGTTGAACAAATAGAGATTAAACTAGCAATTTGTATTCACATAAACAAGAAGTTCATCACCCAATAGGTTCCATCAAAACCTTCGACAAGGAATTTAGCTACTCATGGCTATGGGAAAAGAAACTAAGATTGAATTCATCATAAAAATCAAAGAAAAGAAGAAAGATGTTTAGAGTATTCTCTCACAATGGTTTTCCTTGCTAAGAACCTTAAAAATCAATACATGCCTCTCTTGGGCGAAGTCTAATGTTTTAAATAGGGTTTAGGTCTAAAAATCCCGTAATTGACACTTTGGTCCCTGAAGTTTCTGCGCCTGCCGCGGTTCTGCCGCGGTCGCGGTAGAACCGCGGCCAAACACCCTCGTGGATTCTCTGATCTTCTGAAGCTGCTTCCCACCGCGGTTCTGCCGCGGTCGCGGTGGAACCTCGGTGGATCTAGTACTCTGAATCTTCAGCCTGTTTTGCATGGTTCACTTGGGAAATTTCACAGTTGGCCTCTTTTTCATCACTTTTAACTCCAAAACTGCTCCTTAGCCTTCCTTATACATATATCACCTACAAATCATGAAAAGCACTAATAAGAGCATTTTGTCATCACTTTTAGCATTAAAACTACACAAGAAGGTGATTATTTAATGGTGTGATTATAGTCAAATTCACCTATTATCAGACAAAATGAGTTACCTTAAGCTGCCGTGAAAGCATTCGGAAATGGCAAAATACAAATTGTTTTTTTTAAACTAATACTTCAAGTCTAGTCTTTAAAGTTTACACTTTGACAAGTCTTGAAGTAGAGGGCATTTGTAGGCATATGAATTTTATTGAATTAAATTCATAAAATAATTTGGATTATATTTTAAATTCAAAATATATTGGTCCAAATAAATATTATGGGCTAATATAATTGAAGTAATTATATAAGTCCAATATATATGGATTAAATAAATAAGTCTTAATCCATTGGGTTAGCCTATTTAATTGTGCTAAAGTGATTAGCCCACTTCATTAAGCCCAAGATGTCATCTTCCTAGAGGCCCGGTTTGGTGCCACGTGTCAAATGACGTGGCGCGCCAAGTCAAGCGGAAGAGCCAATATGATAATGCCACGTGTCAAAATGACAAGGCATGTCAAGTCACACTAAAAGGCCAATGAAATTGCGCCACGTGTGCAAGTGACATGTTTTGGCCAATCAAATGCGGTCATGTGACACTTCAATTTGATTGGTCGGAAAGAGTTTGTTCTTATCATAACTCCTCCCTTCCACAACTATAAATAGGAGTCTTCATAATCCATAAAAGACACCAGAAGTTATAACAAGAAGCAAGAGAGAACTCGTGGATCAAACACCGCAAATTCCTCCACAAGTTTCAAGCTTCAAGTTCAAGTTCAACAAATCAAGTTCAAGCTCAAGAAAGAAGAACAAATCAAGTTCAAGCTCAAGAACAAAGAACGAAGAACAAATCAAGGTTCAAGGAGCGCGAGTTCAAATCAAAGTTCGTGCCAGTTGAATTCAAGATCATCGTTCGTGGCAACAAACATAGATTCAAGATCAAGCTCAAAGGCCCTTGAATTTATTTACAATTAGAAAAGTAGAATCAGAGGAATCATAGAGATTATACACTCAAATATTCGAAATAAAATACTACGATTGTTGTGATATTTTCGGTCTTGATTTTATTTTCTCGATGCAAATTTATTGTCCACAATATATATATATATATA